TGCAGAACCTTATCCACTATTTCAGGAGAACCTCAGAGCATCCCTTGGAATTAGGGCAAAAAACATTGCTCTCTTTTTTCAGATGGAAAGACTGAGGTCTGGAAGGCACTTGCTATGTCCCACATTCAAATAGAAAGAACTCCCAATAGCTAAACTTAAGTCCAGTAATCACAAATGCCAAGGCCTAACAGAGGTCACACTTGAGGCTGACAACAGCCTAATATATTAGGTACTACTCTAAGACCCATTTCACAGATGAGGGGTCTGAGGCTCAGAAAGGTTGAGTAACTTGCCCAGGGTCACAAAACTAGCAGATGGCAAGAGTGAAGTTACACAGCCAAGCAGACTGGGGATTATGCTGGACTCCTCAGCACACCGGGGAGGACTGGCTGGGAATGGGAATCTTGTGTCTGCTGGTTCCAAGTACAAGCATCCTTCCTGCAAGCGTTGAAGTCAGTGAGTGGGGAGGGGCCCAGGCACACTGAAGGCACCCTTGTCAATGTTTGCTGAATGAATGGACTCTGCACCACCAGGACATTCTCCCCTGTTGGGGTAGCATGTACCCTGGAGCCGGCAGGCGGGAGGCCACTGGATGCCCAAGTGCAATGCATCCAGCCAGCAAGTCTATTTTAAACTCCTCTGGTTAGCAGAGCCCCTCCCCAGCCTGGATTCGGATGGAGGCTAGCATTAACAAGCTCACTGTCTGGAAGCTCACTGTGTGGAAAATCTCTTTCCACATGCACCCACTCACAGAGTAAAGGCCATGTGAAGGCACAGCAAGAAGGAGGCTGTCTGCAAGTCAGGAAGAGAGCCCTCATCAGAAACCAAATCAACCAGCATCTTGATCTTGCCCTTCCCAGCCTCCATATCCGTGAGAAACAAATTTTAAGCCACCTAGTCTATGGTATTTTGTCTGGCACAAAATGGTACAAATGTAACAAGCTTACCTGTTACATTTTTTAAATTAGTGTTTAAAATGTAAAAAATAATCATGACCCACCCACATAGAACAAGAGAGAACCACAAGTGGTTCTTCCCAGAGGCTCCAGCTACCTGTGGCTAGAAGGACCACCAGCCCTGTCACTCAGGACCACACTTGGCTAGGGCCCCCTTCTCAGTACCTGGCGTCTATTTGTCAAGGACCATTCAGCCTTGACTGAGCTTCTGAACAAGGAGCCAGGAATTTTCTCTAACCAGGGTCACAGGCCAGGGCACTGGAGTGAGCAGTCTTATTAGTCTTTACAAAAGCTAGCTGCTGACTTCTGGATTAAAAAAGAAAGAGAAAGGCAGGCAAGGAAGTGCCCAACCTTCCCCAAAACAGGCTGGCTGTGGCCTGGAACGTGCTCCTGGGTCACCTGCAGGAGCCCGGCCATGCATAGAGAGGCAGCCCTGCACAAGGAGGCAGGCACTGCTGGGGCCGCGGCAAAACCTTATCTGGGCCAGGAAGCCTAGGTACTGGTTCCAAGGAGGCTCCTGACTCTGGCTAGGTGGCTCTCCCTTCTGTGCCTCGATTTCTTGGGCTGTGAACCGGGGTGGGGAGCTGGTAGGGCTAACCTGTGGGAGGGCACTGGGAAGCGCAGGGCACCGCCCACTGGCCGCTGCAGAACCGGCTTTGCGGTGTAAACAGCCCCAGCCTCAGGCCGGGCAGCTGGGACCGAGAGAACCAGCCACCATCTGGATACTTCGGGCCGACAGGTCCATACCAGGCCCCCACCATACAGGCAGTAAGGTCCAGTCTCAGGGAGGAGGAGGAGGGGAGAGAGGATTTGAGGAAGAGAAGACAGAGACCCAGAAAAAGGGGTGGCAGAGAGCAAGGAGGGAGAGGAGGGACGGTGGGGAAGGGACCACGGAGGGGGTGGGGTCCTTTGGCTCCCCTGGCAGCCCGCAGCCGTCCCCAGGGCCCGGGAGGGAGGTCGCTGAGCGCGAGTCTGGGG